TTTTAACTTAGGGTCAGTACCATTGCTGCGTACTCTGCTGTAATATATTCATTGTACACAGCTTACTACCCTGTATTTTACTTTTCATTTTTATCTATTAAACTGGTTGGAAATACTACACTATGGGCACCTGTTTTTTGGTTCCTATTTGGGAGCTAAATCAATTTGCAGGATTCCTCTAGTGTGCGCTTACTACCACCGGAGGGACGGAGCTTTGGATCCTGGCTGATTACCATACCATCCTTAAGGGGGATCTCCGGACTTCTCTCACACATCTCCAGGCTGAATGATTCACAGAGTTGGAGCTCACTCTCTTCATTTTCCATAAGGATTCCAGGGGATATTCATTATATGCGCATTTTCCATGCGCGTCCGGTGAGTGCGCACTCTTTCCATTGTCTCCTGGCCTCTATCAGCTATTCCTTGGGACTCGCTAATATATACATCCATTCAATTATTACGGACTATTTCCTTTTGCATTTATTTTTCAGCGCTGCACTCTGTTTTTATCTGTTATTTGTGGGTATACTGTGATTACCTTTAGTGCCATAGCTGCTTATTTAGGAGCGCTCACTTTATACCATTTACATTAAAATATTAAATCAGCTTTCAAAACCAGGCTTATCTGGCAGGTATTTTCTAGCTAAGAAGAAATATTATTATTTTATTACAGGTACTTATATAGCACCATCAATTTACACAGTGCTTTACATATATAGTACATTGCACATTCACAGCAATCCCTAACCCTCAAGGAGTGTACAATCTAAGGTATATAACTCACATTGTTACAGGAGGACAATTTATACAGGAGCCAATTAACCTACCAGCATGTCTTTAAAGTGTGGGCGGAAACCGGAGCACCCCCACGTAGGTGCAGGGAGAACATACAAGTAGTGCCATTGGGATTCAATCCATTGACCCTAGTGTTGCCAGGAAGAAAGTGCTAACCACTTAACCAAATACCAAATGCAAGATGTTGAACACATGGAGAAAAAGCACCATAGATGATCCCTATTTTACTTTAGCTTGTGTTTTATTCAGTTTAAAAGCTGTCTTAGTAAAATTTTTAAAATTGCCGTTCCTTTTTAATTCGAAAGCATATAGTCAATTTATGTATTACATATGTATTGAGTCCACAGGCAGAAAAGCTCTATAGAAAAATTATTATTATTATTATTATTAATATTTATGATATTATTAGATGCTGCTCTGTTTTTATTTGTTGTCTAGGCAATTACCTGCATGTGTTTGAAGATAAAAGTATTCATATCAGGGGCATAACTTGGGTCAAGTACACAGGACATGTGCCCACATGTCTTTCAGGGTGCCCCAGGTGCCCTGAGTGCCCACACAATGCCTATGATCTGTGCTGTCATTAGACAGAGCAGATCAAAATCAAAGGCACAAAGCCAATTATAGTGGCTCTGTGACTTTGGTTTCTGTTATGGCCAATCACAGCAATCACAGTTTGTCATTACATTTGAGAACCTGCCCTTTCTTCCTCTGTTGCCGATACTCTTCCTTCTTCCTCTTTCCCTGCTTCATATTTTGGGGGTGCTTAGGAACTGTGGAATTTGTGTGCTGTGTATACAATGAGTAGGGTCAGGTTTTATGTAACCATAATCCCCTCCCAAGGTTACTTTCCTCAGAGTACCCTAGGGTGCCCCAGGTCTTCCATAATCCTAGTTACACCCCTGCTCTATATAGCTATTAATAAATGGTCAGGCAGACAGATGGACATAAATATATAAAGTGAAAGGATGGCTGCTTTTATAATAAAATGATTTTCTTTTAATTTTCTCTGAAACATTCTCAATTATTAAAGCTAGTTTCTGAGCATTAACAAAAAAAAACACTTTCCGCTCCCACTCCACTAGTTAATCAAAATTTTCATTGTAAATATTTCAACTAAAGACTCAAAATACTTACCTAAATCAGCACCCATCCGACAAGCCTTTCTTCCTACGTATGTTCCATAGTGATGAAGGGTGCTTTTTGCCTTTGCGCTGCCTCTTGACTGCTGACAATATCCATCATGTGTGTCCAGAGAGGGCCCTTAAATTCTAAATGCCTTGTGATAAGTGGGTGCTAACAAAACTGTCCAGGAGACCAGTTAGGTTAAGCAAGCAATTATTGGTCCCCATCTCTGGAAAAGGATCTACAGTAGGTCACATAATCATAGTGGCATTTGCATGGATGTCGCTAGACTCAGGCACTTAGGGCAGGTGCCCTGAAAGTTTTCCATGAGCCCAAGGTTTGTTCCACCCAGCACTGGTATTCAGTGGAGCAGAATTGACACTGTGCCGAGGTCTCTGCAGAAACTAGGGTCGTGCTCCTGGAAGATCTTTGGGATTCCTTCACAGTGGTAATGCCTGCAAATTGTTGGCTTCTCATGTGACCTACTCATCAGAGCAACTGCCTATTGACTGTTGACAGTGTTCATCATCTGTGTCCTGAAAGGATCCTTTATTCCTAAAGGACAAATTGATCTTACAAGAGGGTGGTAAGAAGACCTGTGGGAAATTGGTGGAAAACAGCAAACAATCACTGGCACCCACCACTGAAAGTGGCTCCAAGGAGAGTCAGTGTTTAGAAACGTGTTTAGAAATGTTATTATTTGTATTTTAATATGCCATATCAGCTAGGTGTGATGGGTGGGAAGGCCATTCCTCCCTCTTAGCATATCATAGTTGAGTAGGGCTAATTCAAGAAAAGAACTGCTATCATGCAATGGAAGCTGTATAGGCTGCACTGACAAGGGGCATGACATAATGCAGACAATGGGCACAGTCATCTGATCTGTGAAAGAGATGATGGTTATCCCCCCTCTTATTGCAAGAAACAAAAAGGATACGAAGGTAAAGTATTCATTGATGTTATTTAATGATCTCAGCATTTTGTTATATTACATAATTCTATGTTGGGTATGCACGGACTGAAAAGTCACCAGTTCAGCAGGAACCGGCTGAATTTTGGTACGCGTGTACTGTGGTCAGTTCAACAGAAGCCAGTTTAACAACCAACTTCTAACGAATGGTCATGCTGGAAAACCAGCACTTGATCAGCGCTTGCAGCCAGTGGCTGGAGCGCTGATCTGTGTATTCTGATGGCTGGCTAGTCCCTGCTGTCAGACTATAAGGGCATAACAAGAGAGATCCCTACATCAATATTGGTTGTGTTGATGTGGGAATCTGTGAGTTTTTTTCTCTTTTGGTCAACCTGCTGGTTTAATAAAGAAAAACTCAGCGTGTATAGCCTGTTTTAGAGAAATGTGTAGGCAAGCTATTGGTGGTGTCAATCTGAAAATGCCTGGCTGTATCTGGCTTTGGTACTCAAGCATCACAGACCTGAAACATATATGCAGCAAATAAAGCCTAGAACCCCTTATAGCCATAATCATTCCAGTTCAGTGAGTTGAAGCTCACGCATCAGAAATGACAATCAGGCAACTATCATTTTCAGAAATAGAGATCAGCATTTAATTACAGCATACACAGTGATCTCATAACAGGCTTCCTTTAATGTAAATACGGATGTACATAAATGATGAAAATAATGAGGACAAATTCAATTTTCACCATAACATCTGCAAGCTTTGATAAGTAATATTAAAGACTTGGCACGCAGATCAGTGATCATGCCAAATCCAAGTACTGCTACATAGCATTTGACAAATGCAGATTTCCTAGGTTACCAAACTTTCTCTCTAAGAAATATGAGACAGAACCACTGAGAGCCATTAAATAATGTGAAAATAAAGCCGTACTGAAATTCCGGCTTTGCTGCTGTTTTATAGACCAGATGCTCATCTATCTCTGTAATCCGCTCTCATGCTCTCCCTGACCTCTGCACAAAAAAATATGATATGACTTGTATTAAACTCACTGGCGGTAGACATTGGGCTGAAAAACGCATAAGTGTTTAATGCAGTTGTTTTCATTGCTTAATGTCACTATCACATACCGGGATCAAAATATCAACATTAAAAATCTAAAATGATGATGGCAATAGTATGGTCACACAGGGAAACATGCAGTTACGAAAGCGAGGAACAGTGTCAGAGGGTCTGGGTTGCATATAGCAATCAAACGGGCTTTTTTATTTAATCCTACCACACTACCATAGGAGAATAAATAGCGCAATGTGATTGGTTGTTATGAGCAATTTAGGCAGTTATCTTCACATTTTAATAATAGGTCGTCTTCAAGACACTTGTTCTGTGCAGTTGGATCCAGGTGCCCAGATCTGAAAACCATTGAAGTGGCCATTGCTCACTATTGCTGTGTCAATGAAGCTGTCATGATTAGCTATGATTAGAAATGAGCAAACCAATCTGCATAAGGCAAAGTTTATAACAGATGAGTGGATTCACGTGAGGTTTTTTTTTTTAAATGTTCTCATTGCAAATCACATAATTTTGATGATTTTGTTTTTTGTGGCATTGGTAGGCTTTCCATCATCACTAACAGCTTCCATTGCACACCCACTACGTAGCAACAAATCAGGAGGAGTAATGATAAGGTATTGTCATTCTCATATTTATTCATGCTGCCAGTGCATTTTCCAAAAAGCCACATTAAGTAAAAATTACAATTAATCCATTGTTGTGTTTTATTTAATGGCCAAAAACATCTGTGAATCTGATTCTTTCATACTACATTGCCAGGCAGGTTGCTAAACTGGCAAAGCAGAAATTTACAAGTTTATATTGGGTGTAGCAAGTCTTTTTTCAGCTGGAACGTGATGGAACTCAGGTCCACCACCTCTGGCTAAGGGCCTCTGCTCCACCACCTCTGGCTAAGGGCCTCTGCTTCACCACCTCTGGCTAAGGGCCTCTGCTCCACCACCTCTGGCTAAGGGCCTCTGCTCCACCACCTCTGGCTAAGGGCCTCTGCTCCACCACCTCTGGCTAAGGGCCTCTGCTCCCTGCTCACCACTATCAACTGAAAACACAGAGGTCCATCTTCTGTGTTTACAAGTGAGAACTTGTCTCAGAACTTGATCACCACCATACCCTTACAAGAGTCCTGATCACCACCATACACCTTACCAGCACCCTGATCACCCCCATACCCCATACCAGTGTCCTGATCACCGCCATACCCCATACCAGCATCCTGATCACTGCCTTACCCCATACCAGCATCCTGATCACCGCCATGCCCCATACCTACATCCTGATAACCCCATATGCCATACCAGTGCCCTGATCATCCCCATGCCCCATACCAGCATCCTGATAACCCAAAATGCCATACCAGTATCCTGATCACCGCCATACCCCAAACCATCACCCTAAACACCACCATACTCCATACCAGCGTTCTGATCATTACCATACCCCATATCAGCGTTTTGATCACCGCCATACTCTATGTCAGCATCCTGATCACAGCCATACCCAATACCAGTATCCGGATTGCCCCCATACCCCATAATAGCATCCTGTCTACTGCCATACCAGCGTCTTGATCACCGCCATACTTCGTGCTAATGTCCTGATCACCACCATACCCCATAACAGTGTCCTGAATCTGATTACTGCCATATGCCATACCACAGTCCAGCATTTTAGGATCTCAACTGATCAATTTTCAAATATATATCCCATCCCGTATCCAGTTTGTAGACTCTATAGCTTTCACACAGACTAAATAATATAAACTGTTTTGGGTTATATTTACCCCAAAAATTTAGCAGAATACATTTTGGCCTAAATTTATGAAGAAACATTTTATAAACAAAAATTAGGCAAAAAATATTTTTTTTTTTTTCAAAAATGTTTTTTTCATGTATATAGCAAAAAATAAAAAACCCAGTGGTGATCAAATACCACCAAAAGAAAGCTCTATCTGTCTCAAAAAAAGGATAAAAATTTCATATGGGTACAGTGTTGCATGACTGAGTAATTGTCACTCAAAATGTGATAGTGCTAAAAGCTGAAAATTGGCCTGTACTGAAAGGGGGTGAAAGTGTCCGGACTTGAAGTGGTTAAAGTTGTAGTGGGGAGTTTTTCTCTGTTTTTTGCCATATGTATATTGATGTATAGATTTTGCCATCTATGGTTAAGTTGGATTTTTCTTCTTTTTGTAAACCAATGGCATATAAACTCACCCGCAGCTAAAACATCCAGATGGTTCCTAGAAAGTCCCTCTCTACTTTAGATATTTTTTTGTGAAAACCATTGAAGCAGTACAGCTTGCAGCTTTTCCTGTTTTTACTGGATACCATAAGAAAATTGTTGTTTTATTGCATTACTGTCAAATACACAGCATGTGTCTATTTGTATTGTACGGTATTGTGCTAAAATAGACCAAGGATATATATTTATACCTACTGAGAAGAACACTTATAATTACACCATTATAAATCCTTTACTCCGGCTCTTTTTAAACAGGCCATTGCCCTGTGCAGTGCCTGCTAATGTAGCCATTTTTCTTACCTTTTCATTTTCTGAAAAAAAAAACAAACCCTGTGGGGCATAGAGTTTGAACTTTTTTCTGGATTGTAATCTGGATGGTACTTGGAGTGAAAACAAGTTGTTTATTTTTTAAGAAAAAAGGAGACACTCCAAAGATTTTTTAAAAGACAAGAGAGTCCTTATGGTGTAGCACTGAACCAAAGATAATGGCAAAATACATAATGGACAAAGTAATGGTATAGGAAATATGTGACTTACAACTGACAAGGTTGCGAGTAACCAAGGGTAAATTGGTAAATGAAACCTTGAATAGCATTTGTGGAGAATATACACTGCTAAAAAAAAATTAAAGGAACACTTTTTAATCAGAGTATATCATCAAGTCAGTTAAAGTCCTGGGATATTGATCTGGTCAGTTAAGTAGCAGAGGGAGCTGTTAATCAGTTTCAGCTGCTTTGCTGTTAATGAAATTAACAACAGGTGCCCTGGATGGGCAACAATGAGACGAACCCCAAAACAGGAATGGTTTTACAGGTAGGGGGCCACTGACATTTTTTCCCTACTCATCGTTTCTGACTGTTTTTCACTAGTTTTGCATTTGGCTAGGGTCAGTGTCATTACTGATAGTATGAGGTGACATACTATCACCTCATACTATCATGGAGGTACTCAAGATAAAGTTCAATTCTAGGTCTGCTGAGACATCAGAACAAATGGAGATCGATAAAGATAAAAACTCAAAGGAAACTAATTTTGCACAGGTGCCTTGTGTGTATGGGATTGGTGGGAAACATTATTAATCAGGATGATCTGATGAGAAGTAATATTTATAATGAATTCATTAATTTACACACATAAGACATGTTTTGTAACTACCCATCACTTCCTCAAGTCTGGGACAGATTATGGCACATCAAGGAAAAAAAAGTGTGAGGTCCCCGTAAACCTCCATACCAGACCCATATCTAAACATGCAGCCTGGAAGGCCAGGAAAGGTTGATGTGAACATGTACCTCTTCTCCACAACTCTGACCCAATGGTTGTGGAAGTCTGTGGAAAGGGGGGCTCATTGGAAACCAGAAGCCCCATTTAACAATAAAGGGACTACCAGATGCCAGCACACCCACATGTCAATGGGTAAGGGTGACCAAGCATCCCTAGTTAGTCACAGAAAGTCCAAAAATGCACATTTATTGTCAATCACATTGGTGCCCAACATTGTCACAGTTGCTTTGCTCTCAGTTGAATTGTCAAGCCATCAAATGGTTGGTGTCATAACTGCTCACATGTGTAGCACAATGGCATCTGCAAATAAAAAAGAGGCTAAGATGGCAGCTACCTTGGCTATAAAGGAGAGGAGGGTTTAGTACCACTTTAATTCACCTTGGGGGCTATATAACGGTCAAATCTATTTATTTTTTAATCTTACAATATGTCCTATCTTTGGTTGTATATAGGGATCTTGGGTGCTGGGTTTCAATTTTCCCAAATATGATTCACTACGTCTGTCCATGATTTTTCATTTGGGATTAATTTATATCCTGAAACTTCCCCTTTTCTAATCTAGTAGCCATACATTGATTTTTTTTTCACTCATTCAAGGCAAATCTGACACACACTCACACACACACAAACCACACACACACACACACACACACACACACACACACACACACACACAGTACATGTGACATATTATACTTATAACGACATCCTTGACATGTACATCTCAGATTTGTTTTTTCTTACACTAATACAGTATATACATACTTGACCTTCTACTGTATCTAGATTTTTTTATGTTATTCATTGTAGCATCTGTAAAATGCCTTTAGCTTGAAGAAGTGAGGGTTGGACACAAGACACATATTTGGTGTTTAAATTTATACATTCATCAAGATTAATTGTTGTCAGATTTTCCTTTCATGAATACAGTTTCCCACCAGCACCATCCACCTCCAGGCGCCTCTGTGACACAAGCTTACTTTAAACTTTATTGTTATCCATTTCTTTTCTGGACTGAACTTCAAAATGACAGCAAGAAAAGAAGAGTAGTGACTATGAGCATGGCCGTGATAATTTCAATAACTCAACCATCCTTAATACAAAAGGTCAGTTTGTGATTTCTATTATTACAGGCATTTATATAATGCTGACAGCATACTCAGTACTGTACATATTGAAATTCATAGTCACTGCCTCAAAGAGCTTACAGTCTAAGGTCCCTACTTCACATACATACTGTACATACATTCACATGCTAAGACATATATAGACAGAAGCCAATTAACCTACTAGCATGTGTTTTGGTCTGTGAGAAAGAAGCCAGTAGTATCAGCAGCAGTAAGCAGATCACCAGCATTACATATTGGCCCCACTGTTCTTGTTCTTTCAAGACATCCATTTCTTCCAATAAATCATTTCAGATTGTAAATAACTTGATCTTCCAAGAACTCTACTCAAATTGCCATCAAACTTTTTTACCCCCAGCAGCCTTTTGACATTGTGGACTGGTTGTCTCACTCACTTCAGCAGGTTCAGCAGTGACAATACAAATTGAAACACTAGTCTGACCAGGACAGAGTTGGGTTGAATTACCAAAAGGATAGATACTGTTCACTTTGGAAAGGGTATGTTCGCTGAGCTTAGTAAATAAAGTGAGGCTGTGTTCACCATATATACTCAATCATATGCAAGAAAAATTAATAGGTGGATTTTTGCTTGAATATAGTTAGATGATTGAAGTTAACCACAAAGTTACTCCATGGGTTGGCCTGCAATTTTCAGTCCATTTCTAAAATGCAGACCAGGGTAAGAGTCTGCAATGTCCATTGGAGTTAATCTCTGCATAACATAGCAGAGTAGACATGTGCGGTCTGTTTCATTTCAAAACGAAATTCAGCTATAATTTTAATTTTTCGGAGATTCGGATATATTTCTGAATTACAATACTGACGTATTTAAATGAATCATAAAGAAAGAAACACAGTTTCTAATCAAATTCAAAATTAAATTGAATTTGAACACAAATTCAAAATATAAACATATTGCCGAATATTGCTAATTTACTTCAAAGACTAGATTAGAATATTATATATATATATATATATATATATATATATATATATATATATAAAATAGAAAAGAATAGAATATAATAGAAAAAAAGAATAGAAAAGAATAGAATAGAAGGAATATAGCCATTTCCCAACATTTGAATTTCGAAAAGAGTAAAATAGAAAACAGAACAGAATAGAAAAGAATAGGGTAAAACAGAACAAAACAGAGTAGAACAGAATAAAATAGAATATAAAATAAAGCAATAGAAAAGAATAAAATAGAAAAGAATAGAATAAGATAGAGTAGAATAGAAAAGAATAAAATGCAATAGAATAGAGTAGAATCTAAAAGAAAAGAATAGAACGGAATAAAATAGAATTAATATAACTGTCTTTGAATTCCAATATTGAAAAGAATAGAATAGCATAAATCAGAATACAACAGAAAAGAATAGAGTAAAAGAGAACACAATAGAATAGAAAATAAACAAATAGAATAGAAAATAAAAAGAATAGAACAGAAAACAATAGAATAGAAAATGGGGGAGCTCTTGTCCATAATGGGCATGGTATTGGCACAGCCCCAGATGATCCATATTGGCTCAAAACTGATATGATCCAGAAATATTTAGACAGAATAAAGGTGAATAAAGCACCTGGACCGGATGGCATACACCCACGGGTCCTTAAACAATTGAGCTCTGTCATTTCAAAGTCATTGTTTCTCATTTTTAGGGACTCTTTAATGACTGGCATCGTACCACTGGATTGGTGTAAGGCCAATGAGGTGCCAATATTTAAAAAGGGTCAGAAACAATTGAGTACTGTCCGTGATACTTTTTTTATTTGCACTAACACATAATTTTGAGGACAAGCTTTCGGGGACTGTCCCCTTCATTGGAGAGTTTAATAAAAGACCACATAGATGAGTTTCTTGCTGGAATAAAATATTTGAA